CCAGTTCCCAGGCTTGCAGAATAGGTATAAGACTCTGCAGCTCACAGTAGAACCAGTTGGGATGGGGGCCGGGGTGGGGTGGTGGGAGAGAGTCTGGCGTACTGGTCAGAAGAGTCTTCACAGATGGGGAGACATCTGGGTTGCCTCTTTCTTGTACCCTAAGGCAATGGGTAATTTGACTGTTAAAGAAAAATACCTCACTTTAATTTTTTATTATAGAAGTAACATATGTTTTTTTATAAGGGATAATCAAAACAATCAAGTGTATAAAATAAAAAGTGAAAGCATCTTCCTATGGTTTTAACTAAGTGTATATATATTTACATGAGGTTTGAAATAATCCATGCTATACATATATTACTGTATAATAGTAGAAATACATTTTTCTCATTTCAGAGTATTTTTTGAACTTTTTTTAATCCATATTTGTTTCTAGTACAGTGCCACTAGCAACTTCACAGCATTTCATTATGATGTAACTTATTTCGTGGGCCCCTATTGATGGATGCTTGGGTGGTCTTTCGAATAGTAAATGTATGTCCATAGACAGGACAAGGAGGAGCAAGAAACAACTCTGTCAGAGTTAATGATATGTGACTGGGCTGAATAGGAGAGCAGTAACATCATGTAAATGCTCCACAGGGCAGGTAGGGGGAATGCCAACTGAGGAATGCCTGTACAACCTATTCTGGGAAAGAGATGGCAAAGGATGGGCCAGTAAAGGGTTGGTGAAGGAGTAATGTAGGCAGAGAGCATTGAGGAGAAAGTGAAAGCACAGAGCCCTAGGGTACCACCATCAGTGTGGCCTCAAAGGGCCAAGGTCATTGGACACCCAGAGACAAGGGCAGACTCAGGCCCTGTAGGTGGTGTTGATGAGATGTGAGAATGGTTGTGGAAGGGGTGGAGAAGTACAGAATCTGACATCTGACCCAAGAGCTAGCTAGATGGCACTGTAGTTACAGAGATGAGACACAGAGGAAGCAGAGGGCAGCCTTAGAGGAGAGTTGATGAATGCAATTTTGTGACCTCTTACCTTTGTTTTCTGTCTTCCTCCTATGACACCTGATTAAAGGAGGAAGCCATCCCCAACAGCATTTCCAACACCCCCAAATTACCCTTGTTGAGCCCCAATGTAATGATGTGACCAGCACCCTCAGGAGGCCTCAGGGTTCAAGTTCAGCTTTAGATGTGTTATGGTGGGTTAGTTAAGCCTCCCATTTTCTGCCCTCTCTTTTATTTAAAAGACAAATGCTGTCTCCAGCTATTAGATGCACATAGACTTGCAGTTTCAAAGTTTGAAGTGGTGACGGGTCAAGACAAAAGCTTTTCTGTATGGCGGGATGAGGGAGGTCTTCAGAAGTCTTGGCCTAGGTGGTCACAGGATGTCAGGAGCCCAGGACCACTCGGTTAGTTTCAGGCTGGAAGGCGCTCTCCTATTTGCTCAGTTACAATCAGCGACTCCTTCTTTGTGTAAAATGGTAATGAGGCCATTAGGAGAGGCTCACCTGAAGTGCAGCTTGTGAATCCAAGGTAATTAAACACCTCTGAATGAAAGGGAAAGGCCAGGGAAGGTTAAATGAGGAATAATCTGCGGCCCAGGTGGCCCAAGGCCTTTGAGGAACCAGAAGAGCGACAGTGGCTTGCACCATTTCAAAGGATGGAAATGTCACCCTGGTCATCAAGTGGGGCAGGATTTTTATTATTTGGGGGGGTGGGCGATATTTTTTTTAACAGTTTAATAAAGCTTGTTGCTTTTTCTATTTCTATTTCAAGTTGAAAGTCCACATCAGCGTGCTCATGTACCAAGCAGCCTGCTTCACTCTTCGGGCTCTCACTACTGTGGTGTTGGGGCTCAAGGCTTCCAGAAAGGAGAGGCACTGCACACTTGTTCTATCTCCTGGGCTGAGATAGATGCCTGTGGCTTTCAGAGGATCTTGGGGTTCAGTGGCTTACCTGTGTGCAGTGGTGAGGTAGGCAGCCCCATGCTTGTTCCCATTGTTCATGACCTTCTCTCAGCTCAGAGTGTGGGTGACACATCCTGCAGCAGCTGCACATGAGCACCTCCTACACTTGGCTTACCTTTACTAGTGGCCAGCTGAGCACTGGACGCTGGGACTTTACTTGGCCTTGAGCTTGTCTTTATCACACACAAGGTCTGGCAACACACAATTTTTGTGATTCAGGGTCTCACCTCAAAATCCCTGCCGATTCTGCACAAAAAATTGTATATGACTCCTCTTGGCAGCATTACTCATAATCACCCAAAAGGAGAAACTGATGAGCAGGTAAATAAGGTGTGCTATCGATGGAACAGTGAAGTATTATTCAGCCTTAAAAAGGAATGAGATTCTTATACATGTTACGACATGGATAAAGCTTGCTTGCAATGAGTATTGTGCTAAGTGAAAAAAATTCAATCATTTTATACTATCTATTATCTGATTCCATTTATATGAAATGTCCAGAATGGACAAATCCATAGAAAGGGACAGTAGGTTAATAGTGGCCTTTGGCTAGTATGAGCTAGAATTGATGGGGGGGAGTAACATCTGACAATATGTAATTTCTTTGGGGGATGTTGAAATGTTCTGGAGTTAGGGAGTAGTGATGGCTGTCTGAGTTGTGAGTATACTAAAAAACATTCAAAACTATATACTTTCAATGAATGAATTTTGTGATAGGTGAAATATATCTCAGTAAGCTGCCTAAGTTTTGTAAGTTCCTCTGTAGAGACTAGGGATGTTGCTCAATGGTAGAGTACTTACTTCACATGCAACTGAACCACTGGGTTCAGTTCCCAGCACTGACATGAACAAACTAAATAAATAAATTCCTTAGCAGCAACACATAGTATCTATGGGCCATTTCTCTAGTATATGCAGTCCATCCCAGGTCAATGATGGTTAATGTTTATTGGCTCCTACGTACCTGGAGGACTCTGAGGAAAGATGTGGATCCTGTGCCCAGGAGAATTACCACTGCAGCTTTATAAGTGATGTATGGATTATCTAAACCTAATCTTCTGTTGTATCCTTAAAGTAATACCAGAACATAGATAATCCATATCTAAACAGTTTACAGTAGTGGCTTCCTGAGATGTGTTCCTAATGTGCTAGGGAGCAGCCACTAGCTGTCCACTTCTCAAAATAAAGGAAGACCCTTTCTGTTTCCCTGCCCCTCTAGCTTCATCTTAGCCATCTTCCCCCTCATTCTCTCTGCTGAAGCCCGATTCTTTCTATTCTCTGAACTCCTTACCACAGGGCTTTTGCACATTACCCTCCAGATTTAGCACACAGTTCTCAGCCCTTGCCTAGTTAAATGCTTTAACTTGTCCTTTAATTCTTACTCTAAGCCTGTTTTCCTTTTTTTTTTTTTTTTTTTTTTTTTTGGGTCCGGTTGTGGGGCCTGAACTCTGGGCCTGGGCGCTGTCCCTCAGCTCTTCAGCTCAAGGCTAGCGCTCTATCACTTGAGCCACAGTGCCACTTCCGGCTTTTTTCTTTTTGCTTATATGGTGCTGAGGAATCGAACCCAGGGCCTCAAGTATGCAAGGCAAGCGCTTTACCACTGAACCACCTTCTCAGCCCGCCTGTTTTCCTTTAGAAGGCTCTCCTGGCATTCTTGGCAACTTCTGTTAACAGACATGCATAGAAATAATGCCACACTGCATATTTTTTCTGTCATCTGAATGCAAACAAGGTCCATACCTGGTTTCCTCAGCAGCTAAATTAGTTCTGAGCAAGCCAGGTGCTGGTGGCATATGCCTGTAATCCTAGCTACTCAAGAGGCTGAGATGTGGGGATCACAGTTCAAAGTCAGCCTGGGCAGGAGAGTCCCTGAGTCTCTTATCTCCAATTAACTACAAAAAGCCAGAAGTGGAGTTGTGATGCAAATGGTCAAGCACTAGCCTTGAGCACAAAAGCTCAGGGACAGTACCCAGTCCTGCGTTCAAGCTCCAGGACCAACACAAAATAAAATAGTCCTGTGCATAATAAATATTTGTGATACAAATGAATGACTCAGGTCACCACATTGCATAATTACAGGATACCATATAAATGGGACATAGTATAAATGGGCACTCTGAAGTTTGTGCAGTGTAGCATCCTGATGTGAATGAAGAGCACACTGGAAATAGTGTGACACTAGCAGCTCTTCAGCTGCTGATTTGTTTATAAAACATAGTCCAGGGAATCTTGACCAATTTCTTGTTCCCCTCTTGCTTTGACTACTAGGAGGTTGTTAATTCAATTTTGAAGTATATATCTAGTCACTATGTAACTTATAGTTACATGTTAAATCTGGTCCCCAATTCTTTGCCTTTTTTCCTATTACTATTTCTTGTTTATTTTGTTTTAACCTGCTGCAACTATTGCTTTACATTGTGATGTATAGGTATATAAATTAACCTTCTATTTTTTTTTAATTTTAATTTTTTATTGTAAAGATACTATACAGAGGGTTACAGTTACATGAGTGAGGTAATGAGTACACTTCCTCTTGAGCATTGTTACCCCCTCCATTCTTTTCCCCCTCCCATCCCCTCCTAACCTTCTATTTCTAATATTTGTAAGTAGCTTAAAGAGGGAATTAGAACTAAAAGTCTTTGCATAGTTGGGCTCAGGTTATAAGACTTAAATTCAAACTTCATCTTGGGTTGTTCCTAGGCATGTAACTAACTTCTCAGATACCATTTCACTCTCAAAGAACAGGAACACCAATTCTTTCCTTATAGAACTGTTGAAGGAAAAAATAGAGATTTTCTGTAGGAGTGCTTAGGTAGCACATAGTAAGTACTTGAAAAATTAGTTTCAGTAGATGTGCTTGAGGCTGGTGGTGTGGCCCAGTGGTAACCTACAGTCTAGTATATGGAGCTCCAAGATGCCTTCCCCAGTACTGGGAGAGGTGGAACACTGCACTGATACTGTTTTCTCCTTCAGCAGTCTATCGAATCTAACCCTCCTGCAGCCTGCCCTCAACCTGTGTTTCCTTTCCACCACCAGATTTCCTCCCTGAAGAACAGGCTGAAGAAGGTCTCCACAGCCACAGGCGACGGTGTGGCCAGGGCCTTCCTCAAGGCCCAGGCCGCTTTCTTTGGTAGCTACCGAAACGCATTGAAAATTGAGCCGGTAAGTAGTCCATGGGCATGTGGCCAACTTCATGTTTGGTCAGGGCTGAGAAGCCTAACTCAGTTTTTACTCCCCCTGAGGAGTGAGAATATGTGTGTTTGTGTGTGTGTGTGTGTGTGAGGGGGGGTGTCTGGAGTAGGAATTCCTGGTCTCACCTGTCATATGAGGGGGCCAAGCGTCATTTGGGAGGCCTTTGCTGCTTCAATGAAGGAAGAAATGAAAGCCCCACTGCCTGTGTCTTAAATATGGCGCCAGGCCCTCACCCTTGCTGCTGTCTCCCTGAGGGCTCACAGGATATCCGTGAGGCTCAGTCACCGCATGAGGAAACTGAGTCTCAGAAAAGAGAAGAAAATGACTTGCCCACAGTCCTAAAGCTTCTGCTCTGTGCCCTGCTGTCCCTTGTTCCTCAAAGGGCCTTTTCTTCCATACTTGAGGAAGAAAAGTGTCCTAGGGATTCACCTTCATGGCTTCTGTGTATTGTTGCAATTTGAGTGAATACAAAGTGCACGGAGGAGCAGGAGATGATGTAAGCCTCCTGTATGGCCCTCTCCTTTCTAAACCTCAGTTCACTCTATGTCCCCTACTGGCTTGTGAGGCAATACATTGTAAAGTTGGGTCTTCTCTAAAACTCAGTGCAGTTCTACTTCTCCTGATTCTGTGAGAAGCTTTTGGTTAACCAAGAACAAGCATGCCCAACTCAGCCCCGCCCAAGTGGGTTGTGAGGGGTCTGCTCAGGTCACACTGCCTGTGGACCAGTGCTGTTGTTACTGCTTTCCATTCCCTTAGTCCTCGAAAGCCCAGCAGCCTGAAGCAAGTTCCTATGACTTGTTTGTCTTCAAGTGAAATGACTCTGGGTTTTTGTTATCATCTTGGGCCAGGCCAACCTGATGATGTTGTGAGAGAAAAATATTGTCACCCTGAAAGGACAGTAGGACTACTGGCTTAGGCGTTCCTTAGTTCCTGACTAGGACCCCACAGGCTGGAAGTATTTTCACTGTGATCCTTGTCTTGAGGTTGTGATGTATGTAGAATCTGGCACACAGTGCTAAAGGTCAGCTGGGCACACGTTGTTCCATGGAAGATTTTCTAATATACAGACATCTGTCCCTGAGAGGTGCCAGGTGGATTTAAAGACAGAAGCCCAGGAGTTTGAACCCTGGTTCTGCACTTCTGGAGTTTTACACAGATGTATAAAAGTGCAAGTCACAGCTGGGCACCGGTGCCTCACGCCTATAATCCTAGCTACTCAGGAGGCTGAGCACTAAGGATCATGGTTCAAAGCCAGCCCGGGCAGGAACATCCATCAGACTCTTATCTCCAATTAGCCACCAGAAAACCAGAAGTGGCACTGTGGCACTGTGGTAGAGTGCTTACCTTGAGCTGAAGAGCTGAGGGACAGTACCTAAGCTCAGAGTTCAAGCCCGTGACCAACAACAACAACAACAAAAAGTGCAAGTCACTTAATCTGTTTGTCCACATAGTAAATATAGATAAGACTACCTTGTTCTTCCCACATCTCCAGGTTGTTGTAAGGATCAAGTGAGCTTAAAGTGTGTAAGAAAGGTGTACAGGAATGGGTTTGTGGAGTAAAGCTTGGAATGGAAAGGACAGGTGCTCCCCTCCCTGTGTGGGCCTGGGGCTGGCTGAACAAGCAGAGGCTGGAAGGCGGGGTTTTCCCTTCATGGCCAGTGGGCTGGCTGTTTTATCAGAAGTCGGGTTTTAGGCAGGAGATGGGGCTGTGGGAAAAGCTGGAACTAGATTGGGCAGCTTTGGATGACAGGCTGAGTGTGTGAAATTTGCCCTGTAGGGAAAAGAGACTTGATGTACCTGTGTCAGATTTGATCAGGAAGACAGTGATGGAGTGAAAGAAAAGCTAGAGGTAAAGAGACTAGTTAGAGGATGTTGTGGGGTGTGGGGACTCAGAAGAGAACCTATAGGTGCTTACATCAGGAAAAGGCACCACAACGGAAGAAATAGCAAGATCCAGAAATAGGAAGGGCAAGAAATGTCCACCCTCTCCCAAGCCACTGGTAGTAAGAGGGACAGTGTAATTCCATGGTGTTCACAGCAGAAATTTTACTGGTAAAACACTGGAATCCACTAAGTAGTCATGATAGGTATCTGAGGAAAGTAACTGAAAGAACATCCACAAGATGGGATTGTTAGACAGCTATTAACAGCATTATTGGAAGATAAACAATGGTTTTGGCATGTTTCCTTGAATTTGAGTTGCCGTTCAATCCTAAAATAGACCTTTATTGTAGTCAGCATTAAGAAAGAACATGCACCAGATGCTGGTGGCTCACGCCTATAATCCTAGCTACTCAGAAGGCTGAGATCTGAGAATCGTGGTAATCCTAGCTACTCAGAAGGCTGAGATCTGAGGATCGTGGTTCAAAGCCAGAGTCTAGGCAGGAAAGTCTGTGAGATTCTTATCTCCAATGAACCATTAGAAAACTGGAAGTGGAGCTATGGCTCAAAGTGGGTAAAGCACTAGCCTTGAGCCTAAAAAGCTCAGGGACAGTGCCTAGGCCTTGAGTTCAGACTCCACGGTTGACAAGGAAAGGAAAGGAGAAGAAAGGAAAGGCAAGGAAGGGAAGAAAAGGCTCTCGTGCTTATATTCCTAGCTACTCAGAAGTGTGAAATCCAAGGATCAAAGTTCAGGGCCAGCCCAAATAGACAAATTCAAGAGAATTTTATCTCCAGTTACCTAGCAAAAAGGTGTGGCTGAAGTGGTACAGTGCCATCTGTGAATGAAAAGGTCAAGCAAGAGCATGAAGCCCTGACGCACACACGTGCGCGCGCGCGCGTGCGGGCGCGCACACACACGCATACACAGAGTACTTCTAGTCATAACTGAAAGATTCCATCAATTATAAGACATGTTGGATTTCAGATATGAGTGGGAAGAAATTTTCATCTTAGAATCAATAGACTATGGCAGATTTGTCACTTTCAGTCCCATTTGTATACCATACATACCAGAATGACTTTTCTGCAAGGCCATTGTTGGCCCCAAATTTTCCAAGCAAGCATTGAACCAAAGCATTGAACCTCTGTAACAGCACCATGTTATCTAGGTGGTTTTTAAACCATAAATTTAGTTTTTGAAGTCTCCCCATATTAAAAAAAATGGGGTAATGACATTCCCCACGTAGGACTACTTTGGGGATCCATTAAAGTGATTGTAGAACACATGTAAATGTGAGAAGAGGGAGTGGCAGTGGCTCTGTAGCTGGGGAGAATGGTGTTTTCGGTGATACTGCCAAGATGGTGGGCAGCACAATGCTGAGGAGACAGAAAGACCTTCTTGAGAAGCCATTCATCTTTTAATTGTTCCTCTGTTGGACTGGGAAATATAGCTCAGTGGTCGAACACTTGCCTAGCATGTGCAAGCCCTGACTTCTGATCTATAGCACTGAAAGGACACATCATACCTGCTCTGGGTTGAAGGGTACAGAGACCTAGACGTGGGAAGTACCATGCTGCCATCATCTGGAATTCAAATTCCATATTGGCACTCTTCGAACCAAGCACTAGGATCTTTGGTTTGCTCTTGGTTCATTTTGCTTGACCATTAGTCAACATCTTATGATGTTTGGAGATCCCTGACAAAGCAATCCAGTACTCCTCTTAGTAGTTTGCTTTAGTCTTTTAATATCTGTAAGCGTTTACATCATACAAAAACTCTTCTTAAACATCACTGTTAGCAAGTGACCCCTGTGATTCTCTGCAGTACCATGGATCATAGCCACATAAGTGGCTTTAAGAAAGAAAACTGCCTTGGCCCCACTCAGATTTTTGTGTGTGTATGGCAGTGATAGGATTTGGAACTCAAGGCTTTGTAAATACTTGCTAGACAGGAACTCTACTGCTTGAGCCATGCCTCTACTCCTTTTTGTTCTGGTCACTTTTTGCACAGGCAGGCCTAGACAAACCATCTTCCTGTTTACCCTTCCAACCAGAGCTGGAATAGTAGTATTCACTACCATGCCCAACTTTTTATGTTGAATATTGGGTCTCGTGCGCTTGAACCCACAATCTTCCCAATCTCAGCCTCCTAAATAGCTAGAATTACATGCATGAACCACCATATCTGACTCACAAATTTTCATCAAGTTGTTGTGAACCTCAAATTTGTACCCAGGCCTACCACATTATCCTAGTTCTGTTTCGTTTTGCTTGGTTTTTTTCATTATTGTTGTTGCTATTTCTGGTCCTGGGGTTTGAACTCTGAGCCTGGGCATTGTCCTTAAGCTTCATTTTGCTCAAGGCTGGAGCTCTACCACATAGGCCACAGCTCCACTTCTGTTTTTTTCTGTGATTAATTGGAAATAAAGAATCTCATGGGGGCTGGGAAGGTAGCTCAGTGGTAGAGTGCTTGCCTTGCATGCATGAGGCCCTGGGTTCGATTCCTCAGTACCACATAAGCAGAAAAAGCTGGAAGTGGTGCTGTGGCTCAAGTGGTAGAGCATTAGCCTTGAGCTGAAGAGCTGAGGAACAGTGCCCAGGCCCAGAGTTCAGGCACCATGACTGGCAAGAAAATAAAAAAGAATCTCATGGACAGGCTACAAGACTACGATATCTCTGCCTCCTGAGTAGGTAGGATTACAGGTAGGAGCCACCCACACCCAACTTTTCTGTTCTGTTCTGTTCTGTTCCTTTATCCATGTCTTCAGATAAGGTCTCAGTGATTTTCTTAAGCATATTATCCTGTGTGGGTTTACTGGGTCAAGGCATCCAGCTAGTGCGTGGGGGGGGGGGGGGGGGGGGGGAAGGGGGGAGGAAGGAGAAGGATTGGGATTGGGGGGGGGAGGGGGGGGGCTGGGAAGGGATGTGAAGGGTAAACAAAGGAGGAGGCTGCAATGCTTGGTAAGAAATGTACGCATTATCCTGCCCATGTAATTGTAACCCCTCTGTACAGTATGTTCACAAATTAAATTAAATTTAAAAAATTTTTTAAAAAAAGGCATCCAGCTAAGTCTGAGGCCTTGATATCA